TTTTTTTTTTTTGTGTTAATTTTGTAAGTAAAAAATGTTTACTGCAAAACGTGTTTTATTTTACATTATTATTGTTAATAAGTGCATATTGTGCAGATCTTGGAGCATAATACAAGGGATCGCGTGTGATGGCTATATGATTATGTCATGTCCCGGGAGCCCTGACGGGACTCTGGAGTCCCGGATCACTATTTTTTATATTAATTAATTTTTTTATATTTTAGTAGCATAGAAACTATAATAGAGGTCCATAGAGTATAATTAACACAAAAAATACACATAAAATAACTTCCATCATATAGCCGGGTGGAAAGGGTTAAGGCCGGACTCGCGCCGGGACTTGCGGCCGGTCTCCCGAAATTCAGTGAGCATGGAATATCTCCCAAAGTAATGAATACCTCGATAAAACTCGGTACACGTATTCATTAGGACCTAACGATGATCATGGGTGATGTTTAGCTATTAATCATTTTTTTGAAATTTCACCCAAATTCGTGAGTTATATGGCGATACGAGACGTGCTGAAATTTGCAGTGAGCATGACATTTCTTCTAAACTACTGTACAGATTTGAACGAAACTTTACTAACCATGGTTGAACTTATATTGCTATAGTTCAACCATGGAAATAACAACCAAATCGTCTCAGTGCCGGCTTATAATACAATGAAAAAAGTCATAACTTACCAATTCACGCGCATTCAAACGATTTAGACGTGTAAAAAGCATACCTACTTAGGCTACTATACTACTGTAAACCGAGGCATTTTTTGCAAACGTTGCTGTGTTGCTAGCCAATCACTGCCAATGCCTGTAGAAGATGTTTGTCCTACCTATACTATTCTTCTTTCTTCTTCTCTATGCATGCTCATAATCGATATTACATGCGAATCAATATCGATTATTCGAATAAAATATCGATTAGAAATAAAATCTTTATTTTCACTCAAAAATCGAAAAATTATGCATGCTGACGATAATCTCAATAGAATTCATGTAAAAAATATGTAACCGGCAAATTTTTCCGCTAAAATTGAAGACAGAGATGTTTTAACTTGCCCGTAGTACCTATTTACTACCCAAGGCGGAAGGTCAGGCATCACGTCTCAGGCCCAAACTGCCAAGGGCCAGCCTGCCAGGGGGGTTAAAAAGCGGAATTTTGCTATTTCTGTTGGCTAATGCTGAAACTGATTGACGGTGTAATACCATTCTTAAAATCCCAGTTGATTAAATAGATCATTATAGATTTTGAAGCCATGCAGTTACAGGTAAGCTAGCTAGCCCTAAGCCATAGTGACAAACCAGTTATTCACCACCTCACCCCCCCTTCTTCTTTTTCTTAAACTGCTTTCTAGCTGTGATTGGTTGATGGAAATGCTTTCAAGCTGTGATTGGTTGATGGGGATGCTTTCAAGCTGTGATTGGTTGTGCCCATAAGCCCCGCCTCCAAGTATGGTATATGTACTACAGTACTGGTTAACTAAATACTTGACAAACTTGATCATTACAACAAAAGGCCTGGAAAATGTAAAAAAAATCCATTAAATAAAAGTCAAATAAAAAATATCATCAAACAAGAGACATCCAAATAATTCTTTTACAAATCTAATGTCCTATAAAATTGAAACATTTGTCCACTTTTGATCCTCCTTTTCATTTATAGTCACTTTAGTCAGTCACCTGGCACAGCACTGTGGGAAAGCTTTTCTTTTCAGCTTGGGTGGAAAGCTTTTTTATAAGTGAACTTCCATTCTTAGAATTCCAGCCTGTAATGGGTGGAAAGCTTTTTTTGTAAGTGAACTTCCATTCCTAGAATTCCATCCTAGCCGCCTTTAGCCAGCATTGATGGTACAGACAAACCAACCAGAGATTTTTTAGAATCAGTTCATTTTTTATTTCCTTATTTAGTCAAGATTTAAAGCAATTTCTTATGTCAGTTATCATGAGTTATGTGTGATAAACTGATAATGCTGGTAAGTGGTATACTATCCATAATATTTTACTGGTCTAAATACCTACTAGCCTAGCTATGTAGTAAGCCTATATCCATTCCTAGGAACTCAAAAATGAACTTGAGCCTTGAGGGACAGGGAGTGAGACTGTGAGGGAGAGTCTAAAAATACTCTCTACTTTGTGGTTGCCACTAATCACTATAATCATGATACAACACATTACAACTAAACCAAACACAAAAACTAGGTCACAATTTAACACAATTCTATACAGAACACGAGTATAGAAGAACTGTTTAGCTCTACAAATTAGTACTCTTCAAACTGTTCAAGCGCAAAGTAAAATCAAATTAGACCTGCCACGGCTGCCAGTGGCATATCAGCCAAAATCGCACTTTTTAGCGCATTTTCTCATTTATGAAATAAATGCAATATTGTGCTTGTCATGTCCGTCTGTCTGTCCGTGACTTCATATTTTTGTCGACAAGAAAATGCGCTCTCTGTCACTCACTGCAGTGAGTAGGGTAAACGCGGTATATTCCGACATCATAGGTAATTCCGTCACCATTTGTGTGTTGTGTGCTTTTCGCTTTAATCATAAATCTGCCCGACACACGTTTTTTGGGGCGAGCCATAATTTATTTTCTACTGTTTAGTCCACAAGAAAAACGTGGTTTTTTAAAAAGTTTTTTTTAAGTATTTTATAAGAAATATAAAATTTGTAAAGCAACCTCTTCAATTTATTAAAAATATTAGGTCATTGTTAATTAATTACAATTATATAGAACACTAGTAATTTTCTACTAAAACAATCTGGAATATCAGGAATATTATTTCAATTGTTCAAAAAAAATGATTAATTCATAGTAAAATATAAATATTGTAGATGATTTGCTTTTTTTTTTCTTAATTATTAGCCAAGAATAGTTAAGAATTAGCACAGACCACAGTGGACATGCCACTCAACAACAATGACTGAAGAAAAGTAGGACCTTTTTTTAATTTATTAGCCTCTTCTCAGCTTTCAACTGAGCTATCTTGTACATTAACCTATTTGGAATGTTGGCGGAAAGTTTTCTGAAATCATAGTGTCTAAGCAGAGACTTTTTTTAGACTCTTTCTCAAGTTCAATTTTGAGTCCTATATAAAAGCTAAATTGAAACCAAGGAATAGAGGGAATGAACACTACAAAACCACATCAGATGAAAGTGATGTCAAAATATGAATGTAGGTATGTATGATGGTGGTAGAGGAGCGGACCTTCTGTTTTGCATGAGAACTAGGGTGCTTGGTGTGAATGGATGGTGGAATGAGAGGAGGGAAGACAAATGTTTTATGTGATGAGGATGAGAAGGAAACTGTGGAGCACTTGTTGATGGAATGTGGGGCATATGAGAGAGAGCGACAGTCTATGATGGAAGTGTTTCTGAATGAGGGAGGTGAGATTAATGAAGTGGGGTATTAAAGAACAAGCAAAGAGTGGATAACTATGATTGTGGGTCTGTTTGAGTGAGCAACTGTAGCTATGTTTGAGAGTGTGGAGAGATATTTTGAAAACGTGTGGAGGTTGAAGGAGATGAGGGGGATGATAAGAGTGGGATCTTAAGGAGGGGAGGGTGGGAAGGCAAAAGCAACCATGCCAAATGTTTCAGTACATTGTTTCTATTTTTTTAGGATGTTGACATGTATACCTTAATGTTAGTCTTTTAGGATTGTAGTGAGTACTTATTAATTGAACTTTTTGTTAACTTCCAAATGTGATGTAAACTTTAGATTTTTTTATGCTAGTAAAAGATTTTTTATGCAGATGAATGCCCCATATAAAGGTTTTGACCAGAGGTCAGCAAGCACCTTAATTCCAATTCCAATAATTAAACCTATTTATCATGGATACCAGCATTATCATACATAAAAATTGGTTTAAATCTTGAGTAGAGGAAATTAACAATGAACTGATTCTAAGAAAATCTCTGGTATCCATTGTGCCTGAAATTGCAGGGAAAAATAATCGTTTCACTTGTGATTTTTAAAAAGAGCTGATAAAAATAGGCTGTTTTTCTTTGGTCTCAATGAGGAAATTGGAAAAATACGATAGGAATAGATGAAATTTGCCAGATTCATGGGTGCTTTTGCCAATTTATGGGTGGCTTCTGCCCAATTTTCCACTTTGGTATATAAATTGGTATCTATGATGATTTTTTTTATATCACTGGGAAATTTGGAGAATAATTTTATAACCATATTTTGCATTTATACACAAAATTTTTATTATATCAACCTAGTGCTTTGTTTGATACAGATTTCTACTTTAAAAAAAATTGTTTGTAGAGAAACTGTTTGGGAGACTCATTCAATCAGGTGAACTGTCAATTGCATACATTTATGTTTAACATTTACCATATTTTCTTTCAAATTTTTCAGAATCATTTGGAGCCAATGGTTGTTGATCCAGTCAATGAAGAAAATGATAACCAAGAAGAAGAAGCTGTAATTGTGGAAAATTCAAATTTGGTAAGCATTCTCATAATATTAGTTTTTAGATAGACCTCTGAATCTTGAATTAATGTGATAATTGAAGTGATGCCTCTAGTTTCTTATAAATACATTTATAGAACTCAATTTGTGCTCTCAAGTTGTGTATGAAATGTTCAAAATTTTTAAATTCTTTACTGTTGAATAAATCAAGCTTATAAGTAAAGAAAATTTCATTTTAAGATGTAGGTAGTTTATTTATATATATTTTTTAATTGCATTACAGATTTTTTATATTATAAATATTTTACTATGTAACTTGCAGGACTTGGACTTGTTTTCAAGCAACTATGGAGGCTTGGGTCGCCTTTATCGCCTCATCTTCATTGCTGATCGCTGTCCTGGGCTGAGGGAAGAAGCTTTGCTCATGGCTTTGGCTCATGTGCAAACCACCTGCAATGTGGCTCTTTATAATAAAATCATTCAAAAGCTCCATCAGCCTGGGTAAAGAATAGACACAAAATTAACCTTATCTTTTGCTTTAGTAAGGCAAAAATATATTCTTAAATTCACTGTAAATGGTAAACTAATTTCAAAATTGTGCTTCAGATAGTTCTACACAGTAGACTTATTAATCCAAAAAATTGTTTTGATATTGATTTTCTTCACTGTCATTATGCTGAGCTCAGGCTGAGCAGTGGCAGTGGAGGGAGTGGCAACCTGCCTGATGTTGCTGCCGGTGGAGGAGAGGCTGGCGCTAGTGGTGGTGTTTCCTCTGCACGCAGCACCCAGTCTATTCCAGGCCCTGACTTACAATGGATTGAAGCAAAGACTAAGAAAGCCTCTATGAAGCTTGAGAAGCTGGATGCTGACCTTAAAAGTTCCAAAGTGATAAAATTTTTGTTATACAATTAGCTGATTAGATAACAAACGGTAAACTGAAGCCCGAAATTGATTTATTAACTATTCAAATGCCAAATGTGGCTGAAATTTTTTGTAATGGAAATCACAAATATGTAATCAAACTAGTTTTCTTGAATTTATTCGTAAAATTTGTGATAATTTATATTTTAATAGGAGTTCAATAGACATAAATTATGGAAATATGCAAAGATGTCAGCAAAATATGAATTAAATTCTGGTTTTACTGAAGTTCAGAGTCGAATTTATTATTATATGTTTGATATCTTGCTATTCCTGATATGATCACGTGTATGTCTCAGGTAAACAGCATCAAAGAGAGCATCCGGCGCGGCCATGACGAGCTTGGTGACCACTACCTGGACTGCGGCGAACTGAGCAACGCCCTCAAGTGCTACAGCCGCGCACGTGACTACTGCACCTCTCACGTCCACATCCTCACCATGTGTCTCAATGTCATCAAGGTGGTCATTAGGTCCAGATATTATAAAGTATTTCATAATTCTGATAACGAGTGCTATGGTATAGCCGCGCTCGTGACTACTGCACCTCTCACGTTCGGTCATCACGTAATTCAATCAATTTAATATCAAGGCGGTCATCACGTAATTGTATACGTATCGCTATAGAATAAATCTTACTGCTGATGTCAAGTGCTACAGCCATGCAGCTGACAAGCACACCTCTCAGTTCCTCCTCACCATTTGTCACAAGATCATCACACGATCAAGGTGGTCATTACGTTCTGGTCTGCAATGGAGTAAATTATAATGCTGATTTACAGTTGTCAGTATACTTGAATGAGTCATCATTAGTAGCAACTACATTAAATACCGTACAGTGTGTAGTTACGTTGGTCATATCTCACGATGACTGTATTGTTGATCTGCAATTAACTGATTTAGATGTTGTACTCTATTAATACTAAGAGTGATGTCAGCGTTGAATAAGCAAAATCTGGCCTATCCCCTATAACTGACATTGCATAATTCTTGTGGCTTGCTTAAGTTTTGAACACGCAAATTTTGCTTCTCCTTACCACTCGGCCAATAAGCCGATTTCAACCAAAACTGTCACAGGAAGCTAGGTTCGAACCTGCAACTCATTGTTATAATCTTACTACGCTGAACTATACCTACTAAGCGAGGTTACATTACTTACTATTGTAGAGGAGTATGCTTTGCATACTGCAAAGGAGTATGCAAACAAATTGTGGCTTCATAGCTAGCAGTGTTCATGTGGGCAGAGCAGCGGCTGCAGCGGCTGCAGCTGTAGCCTCATCAGCACTTGGCGTAGTAATACGTTGGCGAAGCGTGCATGCGCAGAACTCAATCAAGAACAGTTACTACTATCTAGAACACTACTTACTAGAACAGTTTCTACTATCTTAGAGGTAGTAACACCGTTGACCTGCCATCACAAAACGATGTCAGCAATTCCCACTCATCAGTCATGTTGTTGTTTTTCTCAGGTGTCCATCTACCTGCAGAACTGGTCTCATGTGCTGAGCTACGTCAGTAAAGCTCAGGCCACCACTGAGAGCACTGATGCTAAGGTAACCTTCTTATTTGTGCTCATGATGAAGCTTTTGGAATTTAAATGGAAATAAATCACAAAGTTATAAAACGTGAAGTGGATCAGTCAAAAAGTTCCAATTGCACTTTTTGAAAGAATTTTGGTACTAATTTACCCTGGAGTCATAGTCCCTTGTTTGAATTGAATTAATTTTTAAAGTTTCAGAATAAAGATTAACGGGTCATGTATAGACCCAAAAATATCAGTGAAATAATTCAGTTCCTTGTATTTCCATTTTCTCAATTAACCTTGTAATTGAATTAACTTTTTTAGTTACTACAAAATATATTTGCTTGCAGTCCGTGATGGGGAGCAACAAAGATCAATCAGCAATTATACAGACGAAGCTCGCCTGCGCCGCTGGTCTTGCGCATCTCGCAACTAAGAAATATAATGTAAGTGTTACATCTGGTTAGCTACAATATTTAATCCTCATGTAATACAAATTGACATAGTTAACTAAACTACGAAATTTCATAAACCACGTTCTACATTGATTATTATCTGTAATGTGAGATAGAGTAACTATGAATAATCTATGACTAGCTTATGCTTCATTCAAGTCCAATTAACATATGTGTTCTAAACTAGTATTATCAACGTAAGATGAATGTTGTTTTTTATTCAGTTCTAATCTACTACTTTAAAAATTCAATGAATTAAAAGTCAATTGGATACAATATATCTTAAACGTCTTTTATGTTCAAGTTTAATATTTCATTTCTTTCTTAATCCAAATATGAGCAATTATCAGAAAGTAGCAGACATATTTATTTTTGAAACTACTTCTTCTACTTTTCTTTACTGTTTCAGTTAGCAGCGAAGAGTTTCCTGGCAGCTCAGCTGGACAGCTGCGTGTACAACGAGATCTTGTCGCCGTGGAACGTGGCTGTGTACGGCGGTCTGTGTGCCCTCGCCACCTTCACCAGACAAGAGCTGCACCAACGCGTCATCATGAGCAGGTTGGCTCTTGTCTTTACTTTATTAGATCTTAGGAAAAAAAAGTCTTTAGAGGCTTGTTTGCGATTTATTGTTTGTAAAAAGGTTAATTATTGCATTCCTTCATGTTTTACTTGACCATTCTTTACTGCCGAATAATCCACAAACTTAAAAAATTTTCAGCAATAAAGTTCACAGTTTTAGGTCGCGTTTAGATGATAGGGTTGCGTGTGTTTTCTAGGAACAGGATCTTGTATTGCAAAATCTAATAAGTTAGATGATTTAAAAATAAAAAAGCTCATAAGCAGTCCAACTATTTTAGTTCTAATCCATTGTCAAACTGTATCATTGAATATCATCAGCACTTTGATTTACATGCGATGTATTGAGGAAATTACTCTTATTAAGTTATAGTTCTAAATATTTATTTGTGATCCAGTTCATTCAAGCAATTCCTGGAGCTGGAGCCGCAGCTGCGTGATCTCATCTTCAAGTTCTACCAGTCCAAATACGCGCAGTGCCTCAAACTCCTTGATGAGCTCAAGGTTTGTCACAACGCTTTAACTTCTACAAACTCAACTCACCTTTCTTTTATTTGTTACTTAACTACTTCAAAGTTTTGTATTAGTAGCCGGCTTCTAAATCAATCATTAATTAAACTGTTGACGAGTAAATTGCACCTTAAGTGTAATCTTTACACATAGCATGATCTGTAGGTGATGATGTCGTATTGTTAAATATTTAAACTAGTACTGCAATTAGTGTTTTGTTCAGCCTATTTCGTGTCAATATCTTATAAAAATAACGAAAGATTGACTTGTGGATTACAGCCTTCCTTCGAATTTTTTTTATAAATACCGTACTAGCTAAGCTGGCTTCTATTTTAGATCTTGCTGCGATGAAATAAACATCATTAAAATAACATAAAATTAACAACATTATTTTACAACGTAGACTTATATTATTCTTTACGTTGATGCTTTAATTCTCTTTTGTTCACATTTTTGTGTTTTCTAATTTTTTATCTCGTTATTCTATTTTCTTCCTTATCTGTGTATAACAACAGATGAAGAATTTTACAAGTTTTAACCTTGAATTTATTGCAACAATGTTCACGCCTGAAACCATCGCCCTTTTTCATCAGTATTTATGGGTGAATTAATTATTAGTTCACACACATATTTGTGAGCCTGCCGAAAAATAATGAATCTCAATTAATTTCACGGAGCAGCCAATTGCTCGTCAGTGATCGTAGGGCTTGGCTTGAAAAGTACTCAGTGATAAGCTGACGGAGTTACTAACTCGTAAATATTTCATGAGTACGGGCTCTGAATCTAAACAGGCTTGCTTGTAACTGATAAGTGTGATGGTTCGCAGGACACGCTGATGCTGGACATGTACCTCGCCTCGCACGTCAAGACGCTCTACTCCAAGATCAGGAACCGCGGCCTCATCCAATACTTCAGGTCCAGCCAAACTTCATGAACTTCATTACCTGGATTCATATAATAATAATCTATTTACCTCATTATCTTTCCCCGATTTAATTATGAGCTAGAGCAGTGAACTGTGACTGGAATATAGATCTGCTATGAAAAATTCATTGGTTTAAAAGTAAATTATAGTTTTTTGCCTTATTTTTACTGTCTTATTTGGAAAGAATTTTTTACTTGCATGATTACAACAATATTTTACTTGCGTTTCAGACCTTTTAAGAGCGCGAGCCTGGAGCGCATGGCGGGGGCGTTCAACACTACGGTGAGCGGACTGGAGGATGAGCTCATGGCGCTCATCTTGGAGGGTCTCATTCAGGCCCGCATCGACAGCCACAATAAGGTTAGGAGGGCACCAAAAGCAGGCCTGGGGCCATCCTATCATGAGCTCATGGCGCTCATCTTGGAGGGTCTCATTCAGGCCCGCATCGACAGCCACAATAAGGTTAGGAGGGCACCAACAGCTGGCCTGGGGCCATCGTGTCAAAACATTTGAGTACACGTCGTGCACGTAGCGGCCGAATTCTCATCTGTGATTGGTGGGTTTAACTTAAAAAGCCGTCAGTGATCGGCTGACGGAGTTACGAACTCGTAACTATTTTTGAAAGTACGACTACAGAAAACAGTGAAAAGTACACAGACGTATTCAAGATCACGATATTTATAGATAAAATAAAGAATTGTGGATTAAAACCAATGAAAAGTTCAGGATACAAGTATTTTTTTGTGCTGAATGATAATGAGTATAATTAATGAGTCTTAAGCTGAATCAGTTAATCAGTGGAAAGTTTAAAGCAAATAAGTGTGATAAATAAGAAGAGAATGAAGAACAAAGAGTATCTAATTGATTCGTGCGATCAGAAAATAAAATATTTGCTTGATGAAAGGGAGATTTGATTAGCTCTGTGTTGCGTAACAGCTTGTATATGTGACAGATGATATCTTACAAATCTTACCATATAATTTTTACATTATAGAACGAAACTTATTTGCCACATATTTGCAGCTGATTGTTTTGTGAATAGTTTTTTTTTTTTCCTTTGACTTTCTTAGCTGATTTAACGCAGACAGACTGGCAGCAAGAGATCTGAATCATTTAAATGTGGAGTCTTGTAGAGATGAAACGCACTCGCGATTGTATGTTGTACTGCGCTGTCTCTGTTGACCGTAGAGTTTAATTAAATCTATAATATATTGACATCAGCTTTGATTAGGCCGTACTTGCCTGCACCAGATTCTTAACCAACCGCCCACCAAGCCAACTTCGACCAGAATTTTACACTTCTCTTGCGGGTCTCAATACCCCAACAATCTCGGTTACATCACCCAGTGGGCCATCCCCATCTAATGAAGAAGGTGTATCCTACAGATCGTGTACGCTGCGTGTGTGGAGGAACGCAGCGTGACGTTCGAGCGCACGCTGGAGATGGGCCAGCAGCACATCGACCGTCTCCACATGCTCCTTCTCAGGGCTGCTCTCATACGACAGCAGGTCAGAGGACTTCATTGGATATTCAGTTCGCAAGTTTTCAATGAAATTCGAATTTATCTGGAGTTTTCATTCATGCTAGCGTGTAGAAATTGTCCTATCCTTTTTTTGGCGCTTGCCAGCCCAATGCAGGAGTACGACTCAAATTCATGATAGTTGTAGAACTAGAAATGGTTGATAAATTTGTTAGAAATTTTAAACAATCAGACACGTTGCAGTTCGCTGAAGAATAATATGCTTATCCTGTATTGAAGACGTTGATGAGCATGTGAATTTAAATAAATGCATCAATTTCCGATTAACTTTCAGGTTAACTGTTTTTAAAGGCAAGTTGTGAACCTCTATCATTTCGTTATCTTTTCCCAATATGCATAAAACTCCATGGAAAAACTACGAGGTTTCATTTTCAAGGACGCATAAATCATAAAGTTTGTTTAGCTTGTAGAAATCATCGCAATTATAATTGTTGCACTCACTTCATTTCCTCGCTCCAAGGAAGCAATTTGTTCACAGTGCTTGATCATAACGCTGTGAGAAAGGACGGTCGAATTCGCCAGCAACTGATGCAAAACAAACCAAACTTGCTACCATTCTCTTGTACAGCGTTTGAAGGGTTTTCAATGCAATCTTTAATAAGTTTCTCGATTATTTAACTAATTTTATGATTTGATGCTCATGATTGGTAAACAGTTATTGTATCGGGGCGCAAGTTCACGCATAAAAATTATGTCTTAAAAAGCATTCAACCTGAAGTACTCCATTAACCCTTGACTTTTTATTTGCAGATGCACGTGAAGCCGCCATCGCGTGATGCAATGCCAGGCTCGAGCGGCAGCGCTGCCGACACTCTCAGTGAACTGCAGGGTTCATGAGAGCTTTCATACCCGTTATTTTTCTGCGTCGAACGAACTGAAGTTCTGCAACATACTTTTTTTTCTTATAGAAGATCCAGTTCTACCGGATTCAATCGGTGCAAGTAGTAATGGGTTCCTAAAAAAAAATTTTTTTTGTTTCTATTTTTATTTTATTTTAGTTTTGTGAATGAAGTTGGCATTACCACCAGGCGATGATGTACTAAGGAACAAAATTGATCGAATTAAAATTATTAAATTTCCATAAAGCTATATGTAAAATCGCAGAAAGTTAGGTAGAGACGCTCAATCAATCTAATTACATTGTTTTAAATCACGATGACGTCTAACACCAATGGAAGGTATGCTAACAAATAAAGATTCTTTACAAAATTTCGATTTTTTTAAGTTGATTTCAACACGCTACACCACCATATACTTGATCAACACATACGTAGTTAGTATACATGTTACTGAATACTAAATATTCTCTGAACTCTGATATTCTCTATATTCTCTTAACTATCCTTGGTCAATAGGTGATGCTTGGAGTCTCCGTGCGCAGCTATTAAAACGGAATTAATGAACAATTTTATCCTGGGCACAAACTGCCAGGTTATAGCTCAAAAGGTTTTGGGTAAGATGAAATTGACATTGGCAAGAAAATAATATATGTTCTTTTATATATTGTGATTCATAGCTTCTATGCAAGCATAGGAATGAAACAAGAGCCTGACCAAGATCAAATAATCTTGATATGATCTTTGTCAACACCATCGGCAGAGTAAATATCAACTCAAGAATGAAAACCTACCTATAAAAACTAATAATCTAATTATTTTACGTTTCATAATATAGCGGGTACTGCACAAAGAAATTACAATGTATTTACTGCACATTACCAAGATTAAACAGCTAAGCAGGTCTGCACAGCCAGCCATGAGAAGCGTGACTACAATCATAGCGAGCGTCCACAGCGTTATTTTACTCAATTGTTTAACGTATAATAGGATAATTTGTAAATTTCCCTTGTCCGTTTTTTAAAGACTAACACTTTATACATACCGTGTAAGTGAGACCTGGAAAAAATGCCTCGTGAACAAGTGATCTTAGCAATCGTATGTCATTACAATGCTTAATTTTCAAGGACAATACCTATACTATATAAACATGCATTCCTATAAGAAGCGCTAACAGAATCTCACAGCGCACGATTTGATGTAAAGTTTCGCAGCGCACAATGAGACAAAATTTCCCCTCATCAATACGCAGGAGCTTCCACGATCTTACCGCAGTTGACATGAAGAGATCTCAAGTAAACTATACCTAGAAAATTGCCCTTTGCATCGGCGTTGCTTCGAATTTCTATATTGGAAAAAAAATCCTATAACGATATCTCAAAATTTGTGAAAATCCTTAGAAACCGAAAACGCTGTTTTAGTAGCTTTTACTTCGATAGAAGCTCTAGGATAAATCAATTTCAGAAAATCTTAAACGAATTAAATAACCGATGGTCGGCTAAACTATGATAAAAATATATATATTTACATAATTCTATTTACAGGAGAAGTGGGTATACGTAAGTATAGTAGAACAGAAGAATTGCTTCGTTCTGAAGCTAAAGCTAAGTGAGAAGTTGAGAAGGGTCTCCACATAGCCTTGCGCGCTCCCTGGCCATGGAGACTCTGATGACGTAGTCTTGGTGCAGAGAAATAAATCTGCTTAACACGAAGAGGCTCAACGCTACCCATGTTGGCCAGCATGACCAGGCTCCAAACTGCACACAATCGATTAGGATTATAATCCAAAGTTAACCGGGACCATAATGGAAGAGTTGAGTCACACATTTTGCTTTTGGAAACTGAAACAAGCCTGGTGCAGTAGAAAATTCAAAATATTAAAACTCTCAACAAATTGAAAAGCCAAGCTGAATAGAATTTTAATCGTGGCATAAACTGACAAAATAAAATATTTTATTAGTGTATTGCTTCCAAATACATAAAATAATTTTGAATAAGACAAAAAATTTAAGCAGGCTAAATTATGCTGCTGTGAACACTATGTAAGTTAACAATTGTACGAACTTGAATTATTCCATAGTGAATGTAAAAATGTGCAGTATTGATCCCATCTTTTCGGTCTATGCCAGTGGTTGGAGAAGCAGCATCTTCACACCTGTAAAGCAATTTACACTAAATTCATGCATAATTATAAGGCAACACAATAAAAACATTAGAAATTAGGATAATTATGCGTTAATTACTAGCAATGGCACTCAACTTAACACACACAACTAAGTATAGGAAGTAATTCCAGTCTCTAGTCTAAATGCTCTTCATCATAGAACAATAACTCACTCTGTAAATCTTTGCAAGATGGCGTCACACCATCTGTTGTAACCGACTGATGTCATGACGGCTCCAGCAAACACCAAGATGCACACAAGGGTACACACAACCAAGTCACCCAGGACGGTCAAGAAGCCTCTGCTCAAAAATTAGATGCTTAGACAGAAAATCAATGTGGGAAAAATCAGCAGGATGAATAGCAATTTTCAACAAAATTTTCATTATTACATTAAATCATTTTTCTGCCAAGAAAGTTTGACAAAATACTGTGAGCTATGCGCACAATAATTTGTAAAAAAGCTTTCTTGATAATATCTTAATACAGCATGATAATATACATTTCATGGTAGTTCCAACCTATTTGTTGCAGCATGAAGATGTAATATAACTCATAGAATAGCTCAAGAACTTACTTTGATGTGTTCCTTTTGGCATTTTTAGCAAAAATTACAAGCTGTGTGAGGGCAATCAAAACACTGAAGAAGGACCAGAAGATATTGTAGTCACAGTAAAACTGTGAGCCCCAGTCAGCCACAAACTGACCGTCAGATGCTTGCCAAGTGCCATTTGTGAAAAGAAGGCAATGACCTCTGAGAAAAAAAAATGGCCATTAGATCAAAATAAATTAGTAATAAGATATATGAATAGGAATTTACTTTGTTTCATTGAGGTTATGGATAGATAAAAGGAAATGGTTTTATATACATACATCTATTTTCTTTAGCTTGATATGAAAATGTCAAATGTAAGCTAAAACTCAGTAAGCTAAAAATGTAAGCTAAAAGGCTCAAAATTATTCAGTCACAACTATCTCTGCCAAGACTTTATGACTATAAACTATGAGACTATAAACAGTAAAAACTTACTCAAAGTCAATGAGATGCAGAATGGTTGGTACTAAGGCACAGAGCCCAAAAATTACAGCAACTACATAGCCAGCAACTTGAACCAAAGTTAAAGTGTCAGAAAAAAAACTAGGCTCAGACATATTTGCTTATGTAGCAAGAAAAATCAGACATCCAACTTTTCAATTAGAAATGGTGAACTTTTGATCCAGCAATTTATTTCATGTTTTCTGTAAACAAGATAATGAACTTAAATAATTGCTCATGAATATATACTATACCCGTACTAGTTACTACTGATTATAAACCTATTCGAGCATTTAGAAAATTTCAAAAGATGAACAGAAATACATTTGTTGTCCAAAATCATCAAAAGGAAACATTCTTTGTGCATTAGTTAAGCTATTTATGCTTAGTCTGAGCACCAAACGTATCAGTTGTACCTAGTACAAGATGATCCAGATCCTAACTTTAGCTTATAATGGATTGAAACTGAAATTCAGTATAAATAGGAGCTTTTGGAAATAATTTCTAACAGATCATTCATAGTTGTGAAATTGAAGACCTATTATCCCTTTCCAGCTGTAATTGTTAATGGGATTATGATGTTATACCCTTTCCAGCTATGATTAGTTGATAGAATTGTAATGTCATCCCCTTTCTAGCTGTGATTGGTTCTGCCCAAAAGACCTGCCCCCAAATATTGGATGTGTACTACAGTACTGGTTAACTTAATACTTGACTTAATACTTAAGTTAAACTTAATCATTATTCATTACAAACTAAGGGCCTGGAAAATTAAAAAAAAAACATTAAATAGAAGAAAAATTAAACATATCAATCAAACAAGAGACAACTAACAATTTCATAACAAATCTGAGATACTATACAATTGAAACAGTTTGTCCACTTTTGATCGTCCTTTTTCTTCATAGGCAGTCCCCTGGCAGAGCACTGTATCTAAGAAAGGCTTTCCACCTTGTTTAGTTGGGTGGAAAGCTTTTTTTGTAAGTGAACTTCCATTCCTAGAATTCCACCCTGCATTAGCCACCTTTAGCCAGCATTGATGGTACAGACAAACCAACCAGAGATTTTTTAGAATCAGTTCATTTTTAATTTCCTTATTTACCTAGTCAAGATTTAAAGCAATTTCTTATGTCAGTTATGTGTGATAATGCTGGTAATCGTGGTAAGTGGTATACTATCCATAATATTTTACTGGTCTAAATACCTACTGCTACTAGCCTAGCTATGTAGAATGTAGTTAGTAGTAGGCCTATATCCATTCCTATATGAACTCAATAATGAACTTGAGCCTTGGGGGACAGGGAGTGAAACTGTGAGGGAGAGTCTAAAAATGCTCTCTACTTTGTGGTTGCCACTATAGGGTAAACGCGGTATATTCCAACACTTTAAGGACGCATCGAGAAATGAAAAACTATAAAAAAAACGTATGCGTTACGATGAACGCATGGAACTAAAACAAAGCTTAATATAAAGGAAAAACTAGAGAAGTGACGGAATTACCTACGATGTTGGAATATACCGCATTTACCCTAATCAATTCATGATACAACACATTATAACTAAACCAAACAAAAAAATTAGGTCACAATTTAACAAGATTCTATTCAGAACACGAGTATAGAATAGAAGAACTGTTTTGCTCTACAAATTAGTCCTCTTCAAACTGTTCATGCAATGATGCACAAAGTGAAATCAAATTAGACCCGCCACGGCTGCCAGTGGCATATCAGCCAAAATCGCATTTTTTAGCGCATTTTCTCATTTATGAAAAAAATGCAATATTGTGCTCGTCATGTCCGTCCGTCTGTCCGTGACTTCATATTTTTGTCTATGAGAAAATGCGCTCTCTGTCACTCACTGCAGTGAGTACTGTCTGTACCGAGTTATATATTTTTTAATTGATTTTAAGACATCGGGTAGGTATAATCGCACTTGTCACTTATCTTCTTCTTCTTTTCCGGGTGTCCACGCTGGGTGGACTTAAAGCCACAGGACAACCTCAAAGTC